GCACAATTCCTGCACTGTGTCTCCAGTGTTGTCCCCAGTGGAGCTATGGGTCAGTGAGGGACGTCGTGTCTCATAGTGGGGCCAGCCCTATGGTCCTCTCTGTGCATCTGCTGCTCTGAGCAGGGATATCGTCCTCAGGGCTTGGTGGGCCAGGATGTGCTCCACTCTCTCTTCCTCCCCCTTCGTTTGCTCCCCTGTACTCTGATCAGACATGTCCCTCTCCCTGAGCTATAGCTTCAGTGTAGTCCTGTGAAGTAAATTCTTCGGGGGAGGCTTGGGGGAGCTGTCTGCGGAGTTGGGATTGGGGCCGGCCCCTCAGACAGGGTCACATTCTTAATTTTAGTTTCATTTATAAAATTTAAGTGCTTTGTGTTCTCTTAAAAATCCACCCCCTGTCCATCCTTACTTTACTTGGAGAATAGTAATGGAAACTATTCTATTAATAGAATAAAATGAACTCCATTCCTTTAACTTTACAACGTTTGGTTATTTTCAGCTTGGCAACAATAGAAGGCTTTGGTGATGCCCAAGTGAAATGAACCAGTCCTTCCCTCACTTTCCTTTCCTCTTTTTTCTCTCTCCCTCCCTTCTCCTGTCATTCTTCCTCTCTCGCTTTGACTATCCTTTTCCCTTCTTTCTCGTCCTTACTTTATGTCCAATTTCTTGTTCTCTTCCTTCTTCATTTGCCTTTTCATTGTAATTGGAGTAAAATCCCTCACCACAGGCTACAAAGCCATATGTGGCTGATTCTTTCATCCTTCCCTCACTTTCAATGCTCAAGGCTCGCTGGCCTCGTAGCTCTTCTTCAGACACACCACGTTAGATTATGTTTTGGAGTTTTGCGCTTCTTTGGGATGCTAACCACATGTCATCTGTTCAAACCCACCAGCTGCTCTGAGGGAGAAAGATGAGGCTATCTATTTCTGTAGATTTATAGGCTCTGAAAACCATAGGGGCAGTTCTACTCTGTCTTATAGGGTCACTATGAGTCAGAAGTAACTTGATGGCAGTCACCTTTTCTCTTTGTCTAGAACCTTTCTTTCTCCATTGTGTTTTGTGGCTGCTTTCTCTCTGTCATTTACATAAAAACTAAACGAAATAAAAACCGAACAACAACAAAATACCAACCCACTGTTGCCCACTTGATTCCAACTCTATTGTGATCTTATAGGACACAGTAGGCCTATCTCACAGGGCTTCTAAGGTTTAATCATTACAGAAGCTGGTTGCCACACCTCTTCCTGTGAAGTGGCTGGTGACTTCAAACCATCAAACTTTCAATTAAACTGGACTCCATTAGAGCTCCTTTGAAACACCTTCTCTAAGATGCCTTCTTGAAGCACTCTAACTTGTTATTTCAACACCCCCATACTGTCACTCTCCAACACACGACCCTGTTACATACTGCTTACCAGTGATTGAACACATGAAATAGTTTTTATGTTTATTCATTGTCTTTTCCTTTATTAATTCCTTAAAGCAGAAATTTCAAATGTTTTTTTGACCACTATACTGCTAAAGCCTAGAATAGTACCTAGCAAAGGCATAGGGACTTAGTAAATGTTTTTATATGCCTATGCATGTACTACACAGTAAACTAGAAACTGTGGTTCATTGGTAAATTTAAAATAATGTATTAACCCCTTCCCAGAGGAAACTATATAAAGATAGCTAAGATATTCTTATAAAATTGTTTCTGTTCATTTCTAGATGTAGCAAGAGTAAGTTAAGGGCCTAGTGGTATCTAGGGCATGATTAAGAGTGCTAAATTGAAGGACTTTTTGCCAAATTAGGAACATAGTGCCAAATGATTTTATAATAACATTATTGCCCAAGTCACCAGAAATTATCATGTCAATGGCTCCTCATTGGTCAACTTTTAAAAAATCCTATTAAAATTCAAGCAAGAAAGATTAAATTCTTAGCCTTTCTTTATAGAATGTAGGCACCAACATGTTGGTGGTTATTTATATAAAGATTTTTAAATATGTTCTGATTAGTAGAGATTATCTTCAAAGCAAAAACTCATCCAGAAGTCTTATATACAAATAGGGAAACGTGACTGATATTGGAATGAAGAGGAGATGGATGAACCTTTTTACCTGCCCACCCAGTACCATTCTTACCCATCAAGTCGGTTTCTGAAGTACCACCTACAGCACCCAGAGCTGCATGGAACAAGGCTTGAAGGACACAAATCTTAGACTAACCTCTTCCTTTGGGAAACTGAGGCCCAGAGAGCTGAAGTGACTTTTCCAAGGTCTTAAAGTTCCTGGCCAAGACAGACCCAACTCCCCTGGTTTCCAGTGCAATGTTTTTCTTTCCATGTTAGCCTGCTTTCTTGAAGGGTAGATGCCACAATGTCGTGTTCTGACATTGCTCTTGGCAGTGGGATTTTGCACAAGAAGTCAGAGGTCGTCAGGGTCCATTGGTCCTTGCTGGGAACTTTGAAACCATCTCCAGGGCTGTGGAGCTTATCTGAAGAGGTAAAAATAAGGAAATGGAGCTGCTCTCTCCAAATACTTATTTTACAGTGGCCTTCTTATTCCAATTTTCCATGCATCAGAGAGAGCTTTGAGTTAAATTTGACACCACAGGAAGCCCAATTGCCTATTTGTGAAGAATGGCCTGGAACTGGCCAGGAAGAGTCGGTTCTGTCCATGAATGTTTTTATTTTGTTAAATAAGAAAATATTTTATTATTTCTGTGGTTATTGGAAATATACACAGCAGTACGTACACCAATTCCACAACTTCTACATTGTACAATTCCATGACTTTGAGTACGGTTTTGAAGCTGTGCAACGGTTCTTATCCTCCTTTCTGGAATTGTTTCTCCTTCATTAACATAAAATCACTCTTTGCTGTCTAGCGTGTTCAGTTGCTTTTGGCAGTTTGGTCCCCCATATACAATTCTTTAAAATAGCACAGTGCTCAAGGTAATCATTTCTCACTAATTAAGCCAAACTGTTCCTTGGTTTAAAGAACACATCTGTGCTATCTTTGGTAGATGGGCTAAGGTGTACAGGTTGTTTTATGGCAATCGTTTTTGGAGTGAATCCAGCCTCAATGCCCCAGAAAGTATGGATTTCATGAATTTTCCCCTATCTGCTTTGATCATGATTTTATGTGCAGTTTCAGTAACTGGGTCTTATGGCAAAGTAGTCAATTGTTCATGAAGGCAATTAATCATACAATCCATGGAATGTTTTCATGTTTAAGTAGAATTACAGATCAGAAATAGCCAATGTGGACAAACTGGTGACTCATGGATCAGTCATAGGATAAATTATCTTCCCATGATAATTGGCAATTGAGAGCCAAACAACATCTACATATTAGCAGCCACTTATAAGTGAATGAGCTGTAGAGACATGGGTTTTCTAGCAAATACAGTTTAAGAAGAGATTAATCTGATTTCTGACCACAGATGGAGGTGGGTGGACATTATTTATGCCATATGCAATGCTTATATCCCAGGCATCAATGATGCCTATCTGAAGATCCTGGAAAATGTCCTTTAGAACAAGATACTGAATGTAGCCATGAAAGTCACCGAATCTCTCTGTATCACTGTACATTTCCCTGATGTTTTCTGTCTTGATGATCACTATTGTGTCTGGGCTTCTCCAAAGAAGACGCTGAACAGCTTTGCGGATGTTGAGGACTCTTCGAATAAAAATGTCAACGGGAAAGGGTCTGAAATGCTGACCCAGAGAAATTACAATGATAGTATTTTTTCCTCCTCCAATTCTATCAATGACCCGTGCCATGTACTCCATCTCTTTGACTGAATACGTTAATGATCCAATCAAAGGGTAGCTGTGCTTTTGCCACTGGATGTTGATATTCCTATCCAAGTCCACAGCAAGTTGATGTTGAAATTTTCCAGATACGTGCAGATCCACTGACTTCAGTGCTGATGATACAGAATCCCAAAATCAAAGAAGAACAAGGTTATCAGGATTAGGATTGACAAGTCATGAAGATAGAAGATTTTTGTTTTTAAAATTGAAGAGATTGACCATGTCTGATTTTTCATAGTTTAAGTGAAAGAATAGTTTTGAAAGTTGTTTTAAAAGTCACATAGGTTTATTGGGGGAGTTCCTGGATCTTTCAAATAGTTAATACACTGGCTAAGAGCTGGTGACCTACTTCTGTAAAATCAGCCCCAGAAATTTTATGGAGCACACATGGAGTCCCTATCAATTGGATCAACTTGATTCTATAGCAACTTTCTTTTTAATATTGCTTGTTTGGCACTTAGCTTATGTACCTTGAAATGCATAGAATGTTTTATAGACACTACCTCACCAGATACTGTTATTAATCCTAGTTGACTGACTAGGAAAGTGAGAGAAATGAAGTGAGATATCGAAGATCAAGGTGTCTCAGTGGCCCATTAACTGGCTCCCTTTTTGCCAATGTGCAATGTCATCATCTTCCTCCTGGTGTCTGCCCTCTCACTGAATAACAATCATGATAGCTTATGTTTGTAGGGGATTTATCTACATCAAACTGTATTCCAGATGTTTTGCATATAATACCTCAGTTAATCCTCATGATAACCTTACTAGGTGGTAATAACTTCTCCATTTTACAGGTGAGGAAGTCAAGGACTGAAAGGACACTTGCATAGCATGTGGAGTCAACAGGCGGTGTAGACTGAGCATCATCATGCCATCTGTTAAGGTATGTAGACAATATCATACCGTCAATGACCTTCAGCTCTATCAATAATTTTCTGAGCACACAGGGTAAACACTGAAGTGTGTATTTTGGGAGAATAGGAATGTAATAACCTTTTTCTCTATTGGTTCCCTCCCAGGGTATTAACTAATCTTCTAAGGGAAAGATAGTGATGTCTCATGAAAAATTTTAATGTGGTGTGCTAAAGGAAGATGTAAAAGATGTTTTTCATATTCCTTTTTTCTCTTTGAAATGAAATAGACATTTCCAGACAGAATGTCAATAAGTACTTAGACGAAGACATACTATTGATATTCTCTTTGAAGTATTCCATCCACTGGCGAATTGTGGAGTCTCCCAAGAGATAGATGAATTTTCCTTTCAGGCATTCTTTCATGTTGATTGGAGTCAAGCTACAGGAGGCAGGATTCCATGTGTCTTCCCAGACATACCCACTGGGGACTGAGGGTGTCATGCCAAGCTTGCATTTCTCTCTCCTTGGGGCTGCTTTCTCTGCCAAATAATCAGCAAGACACGATCTTCTCAAACGTAGAATTACCAGTATATATTTACTAAGCACATACTATCTTTTCTAGCTATTTTTTTGTAGTGGTTACCTGTTGGCCTGTGATTTGCATGGTCGGCAGTTCAACACCACCAGCACCTCTGCAGGAGAAAGACTGGGATTTCTACTCCTGTAAAGACTTACAGTCTTGGAAACCCAAGGGCAGTGAGTTGGTTTTTTGGGTTAGGAAGTTGGCTGTAATGTTGGAAATGTCTTATTGAATTTTTCAGTCAATTTTTTCTCTGAAGTTAATTTTCCAAATGATCCCTACTATTGATTGTTCTATGAGTGGATGCTTGCTTCCTGAATAGCAGAATATGACCTTCTGGGTAAATTTAAAATATATTTTTAATGGGAATAAACCATCAAATTTTGCTTAGCATTTTATTACACTGTCATTTTAGCCCATGCTACCCACAAGATTGTCATATTCTATTACAGTCTCTTAAAAGCCATTACCAAACTATATAAATCTTTGACTGAGTGGCAGGGTGGTGAGTTAAAAAAAACACCAAACAAATCAAAACAAACATCTGGTCTGGCTTGGGAACTGGCAAATTTGAATGGATGTGTTTGCTCACTGGAGGCCCAAGTTGTGCCAGGTGCTAAACTGTTGGTTTAAGAAGCGTCTGAGTGGGTGGTGAAGAGTCTTTGGTGACTTAGAGCATTGATTATTCACCCACCAAAGAGAAGCAGCTTAATATTCTAACATCTAGGATGAGTGCACGCAACTATTTCAGTGTGAATAATTTTATTAGTGACTGTACTAAATAAGCTCTTTATGTTGAACTTCAAGAGACATAAACATTTTTTCCCTTAAAGAGACTGAATGAAATGAATAAATACAGCTGTGAAAGTACTACTATGTGTGAAAATTGCTTGAAAAACAGCAGCGGCGAGAATGTGAAAAGGTGGAGATGGAGATTCTTGGGTTAGCAGTGATGTGGGCTGTGGTTAGGGTTGGCGGAGGTGTGATGCAACAGTGGTGCCTGTGGTGTGAGGAATGGTGGCGAGGTAGGGATTTAGAAAACTGTGTTGTACTGAGAAAGAGTTTTGACATGTGAAGGTTATTGTGTCAGATGCACAGGTAATATGTGTCTTGCCAAGTAGATTGGTGATAAGAAATAGAGTTTCTGAAACAGGTTTATGATATCCTAGATGTTCCATTTATTTACTCACTTAAAGAACTGGTGTCTTAGCCTACCTTATACAAGGCACGTTGTCAGGGTGCCTATACAACTAACAACAGTGAACAAAGAAGACAGCCTTTCAGGGAGTCTGAGACTAAGCACAGAGGGCAGTGGTCTGATACCCTAGCGTATGGACTCATCAGAAGCTGGAGGCCAACATGATAACAGCTATCAACAATGACAACAGGACCAAGCATTGCTTACCAGGCACAGGAGAAACACTGTAACAATTGGAGACTCGAATGGGGTTGAAGCTTTCCATAATCTCTACCCCCACATTTGACCTGAGAGAGACAAATAAGAAATTAGTCTGCAGGGAGCCGCAGGTACCAGGAAACAAGAGACCTCACATTATCGAGCTCTGGTTATTTCTTGGTGATAAGTTAACCACTATGCCCACAGATTCAGAGCATTTTGTAAACTGTAATTTCTTAGCTTATTAGTGCATGGGATACAGACATCCAATAGGTGTGTGAGGTAATTTATTGAATGGAAGAAAGAATACATTGTTGTTGGGTACCATCAAATTGGTCCTGCTCATAGTGACCTTCATACTTGAACAATCCTCATTGTGATGCCACAATGGTATTGGGGCTCTTTGTTTCAGCCACCATGTTACCCACCTCTCCTTGAGGGACTGCTCTTCCACGTTACCAAGCATGATGTCCTTTTCCAGAAAGAGTATACAACCATCTATTTCTAACCCTCTTTTAATTTTTATTTCTGTATTTCACTGATAAGGTTTCTGATTTGTCTTTTCAGGGACAAAGTTTAACAACCAAAATGTTTGGGGACCAGCTGAGAGTGGACACAGTCCCAAGTCAATTTACAGATCCGTTCCCAAATGGCTTTTCATATGTCTCAAGATTGACAAGCACCACCTGTCTGTCAGTTCATCATGGTATGGGGTTTGTGTATTGCTATGATGTTGGACACTATTCAGTGGTGTTTCAACTACCAGAATGGCCACCGAAGGTGAAGAGGTTTCAGGGGAGCTTCCAGACCAAGAATAGATTATGAAGCCAGAATAGGTGATCTACTTCTCAGGAAGTAACCACTGAAAAGCTTATGGAGAGCAGCAGAACCCGGTTACATGACAATGAAAACATTGTCCAATGACAATAAAAACAAGCAGGGGAACATTGTCAACTATAGTGATAGAAGGTGAGCCCTTCCGGTCGGAAGGCACTCAAAATATGACTGAGGAAAAGATGCATTTTCAGAGTAGAGTTGATCATCAAGATGTGGATGGAGTTAAGATTCAGAGACTTTCACTTACTCATGGGGCATGACTCCAAATAAGAATTCTTATAAACATCGATTAATAATCACAACTTGGTATGTATTAAATATGAAAACAGGAAAATTGGAAGTTGTCAAAAATGAAATTTAATACAAAAAGATCCATATACTAGGCATTAGCTGAAATGGACTGGTGTGGCCAGTTTGGATGAGATAATCATATGGTTTACTTTGCTGGGAATGACAGTCAAGAGAATGTCACCATCAAATAGGACATTTCAAGATCTACTTTAAAGTACAATATTGTCTGTAATTGGATATTATCTATGTGCACAGAAGGAAATCCAGTCAATACAACTATTCTTCACATTTTTACACCGACCACAAAAGCTAGTGATGAAGAATTTGAAAATTCCTTCCTTCTGAAATTAATGAGACATGCAATCAAAATGCATGGAAAATTATTGGCGATTGTAATGCCAAAAAAATGGAAACAAAGAGAAAGGTACAGTAGTTGAAAAATATGGCTTTTGTGGTAGAGATGAAGTGTGAAATCATATGATATAATTTTGCAAGACCAACGACTTAATGGCAAATACCTTTTTCCAACAACAAAATGTTCACATATACAAGAACATTACCAGACAGGATACACAGATATCCAACGGACTGTTTCTGTGAGAAGAGAAAATGGACAGATTCACTGAGCAGTCTAAATGAGGTCAGGGGATGACTGTGGCACAGGCCATCAATTGCTCACATGTAAGTTCACGTTGAAATTCAGGGAAAATTTTAAAAGTCTATCAGCATTGACTCGATGGCTGTGGATTTGGTTTGGTTTTATGAGAGCCAAGCTATGACTTTGAGTATATTTTGAGAACATCTCAAGAACAGATTGGAAACACAGAACACTAATGACAGAAGCCCCGATGAGCTGCAGGGATGAAATCAAGAATCTCACACATGAAGAAAGCAAACCAAAAGATCAAACTCACTGTCATGGTGTTGATTCTGACTCATAGCGACCCCACAGGACAAGATAAAACTGCTCCTGTGGGTTTCTGATTCTCTTTGTGGAGTAGAAAGCCAAGGAGTGGCTGGTGGTTTCAAACTGCTGACCTAGCGGTTATCAGACCAAAGCATCACCCCTATGCCACGAGGGCTTCTGGAAGGTATAATTACTCCCCCACCCCTTTATTTTACAGCTGAGGAAATAGGACCTTGCAGTGTAAGTATAACCACACAATGTATGGCAGACTTTCCCTCAATGCCAAGTCCTCTTGCCTCTGAGGCCCACTTTTCGCCCCCTGCGTACTGCCCCCGTTGTCTCTCTTCCTCAGGGTATGCCCAGCATAGCAGCAACCAAGCTATTTCCACTCAAAGTAGAGCCTAGTGCCTGATTCCAAGGATCCATATGCTGAACAAATAAATCTCTATCAGAAGGATAGCCAGAAGTGTAGCCAGTGGTGAGACTCTATCTCATGTACTTGCTATTAGGAGAAAACAGGACATAGTATCAGGAGAGACAATTCTCTAAAGAAAGACATCATGCTTGGTAGAGGGGGAGGGAAAAAGAGGATGATGTTCAGTGAAATAGAGTGACACAGCAGTTGCAATAATGGGCACAAACATAGCCATAATTGTGGGGATTGTGCAAGGTCAGGCAGTGTTTCATTCTATTGTCTCTACCTACATGGAGTGGTTATGAGTTGGAATGGAATTGATGCTACCTAACAATATCAACAACTACACTGATATACTGACAGGACTTTCATTGGGCCATATCACATTTGACCAAGCAGTCTTCAGAAGCAGGAGCTGTAGTGGCATAGTAGTTACCAGTTGGGCTTCAATCAGCAAGGTCTGCAGTTGAAAAAGCACCAGCTGCTTTGCAGGAGAAGGATGGGGCTTTCTACTCTTGCAAGAAGTTACAGTATTGGAAACTCACAGGGGCAATTCTACCATACCCTGTAGGGTCATTATGCGTAGGCATTGACTCAATAGCAGTGAGTTTTGTTTTGTTTTTGAGTCCTCAGAAATAAGTACTTACCTTTCAAAAAGGCCACTTTCTTGCTTACTAAGATAAGAAACTTCCATGTTCTTGGAGTGCATGTAGGAGATTGCAGCACAGGGTATGTGCTGAGGTTTCACGCAGTAGAAGGCTTCTTGGTCTTGAGGATCCAGGTACTGGCACAGTTCAACACTCGAATTTAAAACTAGGCCGCAGTCAGTGTTGGCACGCAAGGTGCCAGTGGAAAACTGGGCTGTGAAAATCACTTTGTTGTAGCCTTGGCTCCTTGCCTTCCAGAGAGCGGATACCCCTTC